GAACACGGCTCACCTGATGGTACATGACTATCGCACTTTATGAACGAATGTAACACCTAGGGAATTTCAGGTGCGTTGCCGCCCTTTTAAAATGTGCAGGCTTTTTTTCTTGAAGTCGTATTGGTCCGGAAAAATTGCTGGTGGTAGCCGAATTCGCAAAAATGTTGTGCGAGGACGAAAACTTCTGGTAAATCGCATTAGGATGGACAACCAATCGTCCAGATATACTATACTATCTGGATGATTTGGTATCAAGGAAATTTATAAACGATTGTATTAACTATCCAGTGTCCACAAGTGTCACCAAGTCTATATTTTTTTTAATATGAGAGGGAGTTAACGGGCATGCGACTTACCTTATGGTACGACAAGTGACTACCGTCGCCCTTAAACTACTGCAACACCATTTAATCTAGTGTGTAGTAGAGTCATGTCAGTCATGCTACAATGAACTTGTAGATACGAAGCTGTTCTTCTCAAGAATCTTTCTTCTCCATCAGTTATCAATTATTTTAGCTGACAATTTGTCAGAAAATAAATAGCTATTGTAGCTGATAGACATCTGCATTGAGATCTATATTACCTACATATTTTAGAGTACGGTTACGTTGTCAATCCTAATGACTGTAATGAAATACCATACAGCCCTTAATCATTCAGATCAGATCATTTTATCCTTTATTCGGTATACAATAGTGGTAATAGTGGTATACTATACTTGCTGACAGAAATAGGCAATATGATAGTCCAGGGGACTCATAGGAGGAATAGGACCTTAATCATTTAGTAAAATTATGCGTGTTATATTTTATTCATCATTATCCCCATCATCATCACTACAGCCCATCACAAGTCCATTGCAGAATATAGGCCTCCTCTAAGAAATACCACAAAGTACGGTTGTAAACTAACTTCGGATTGTAACATCTTCTTCAACTTCATTAGTGTAGATTGAATTTGCGTTTCGAATTTTCTTAAATTTGATTGATTTCAAAAGTTACATAAATTCAATAATCGAATAAACATAACTATGGTAAACTACTACTATTTAAAATACAATTAACGATCGACCAACCTAAACTTTTTAATTATATTTTTACCTCCTGTAATTACAAACTTAAACTAATTTAGAAATTACAAAAACATACAACACACTTCTAAGTTAAGTCAGTAACTTTGAATTGTAATCAATACGTAAACGTACGTTAGTACGTGGCGCTATACTAAAAATGGGCCAAATTAAGAGTACCTTTAACCGACGAGCACGTATGCGTAGGTATATGGATGTGGGAGAGGCGAGAGAGGTATGTCAGGATCGTGCTAAATTGAAGTCTGTAGTCTCTGCCTACCCCTCTGGGTGACAGGCGTGAGTGTTTATGTATGTACGTAAACACAGATTAGGTACGTACGTATAATAAATAAGTACGCACAACTTGATATAGTTCTTCTCATTAGTTTGTGACTTAGTGACAAAGCCCGAGCGGCAAAACCACAGAATCTCAATAATATTGCCTTATTATTTAGATTTCTGTGGGCAAAACGAACGAATTCCATTGACAAATGGAACGGTCTTTCGGTTGCATAAAATCGCTTCCGACAGTGACACAGACTTTCTGCATACATATCTATATAGAAATTGACAATTCTTATTCAAGATAAATCACTAATAATTCTTACTAAAAGTCACTCTTATGTTTAATTTTGCACTAATTCGGAAAATATCTCTGTTACGGGAAGAACCAGAAAGAAGGCCAGCAGGACTTTTTTTTGAAAAAAAAAAACAGTTTACAATCATTAACGTTACACAATAACTACCAGCACCAAACTAATTAGAAATAGCTTGGTAACGATCACCTTATTATCCTTGGTTATTACCATCCCTAAAATCCTTAATATTATAATAACCCTTTTTATGCCAGTGCGTGTCGCCAGTGATGACTTATGAATCTGAGACGTGGTCCTTCACTGCAGGCCGTATGAGGACGCTCAAGCTCGCTCAGCGAGCTATGGAGAGGGCTATGCTCGGGGTTTCTCTGCGTGATAAATTTAGAAATAAGGATATCCATTTACACGTGGTAGAGCCATGCTGCAGTTATATTAGTAGTATAGTTGTAGCACGAATGGGTCGGCTCGACCGGGGAAGGACCATGCTCTCACAGAATACCAGCGTAAAATAGTAGCTTAATGCTGCTGTGTTTCGTATGGTGAGTGTAGAGAACCGGAGACCCTTTTTAGTGAAAACGAGGCATTCCATCTTAGTCCTCAAGGGTGTCACCCTTGAGGACTAAGATGGAATGCATGTGCATTTTGATTTGTAATCAAGGATAGATGTAGATGTCTATGGGCCACAGCAACCACTTACCACCAGGTAGACTGTGTGCTCGTTTTTCACCCTATAAAAATATCCGCGTAGTAGAACCAGAGTCATCGACATAGCCTAACGGATTAGTAAGCTGAAGTGGCAATGGGCCGGCCATACAGCTCGAAGAACCGACAACCGATGGGGACAAAAGTTTCCCCACCAGATGGAGTGTCGACCTGGTAAGACATGCATGCATAAGTCGATTGATGCAGGTGGATCAGGACCGTGCTTTGTGGCATTCCTGGGGGGAGGCCTATGTTTTCAAAAGCTGAAGATAGCCGTAGCCGAGCTAACTATGACATCAGAACGTCAAACATCTCAGTCTTTTCCGTGACCCATGGGTGCTGTAAAACACGTGACCCGTAACACACGGGTTATGTAAAGCACCCGAATTATAAAATTAAAATGAAACGTGATAAAATCCGTAAAATTAGTTAAATTTAATTTATTAAAACTATGTACTTATATTTTTGTGTAAATACGTTACATTTTCAGAAATCTATTGAGAGGCCGAAGTAAATATACCAATTTCCTTCAATTTTCGTCTTAGACTCTTAGGTTTTAAATCACAAATTGCTTTTATGGCTTTCTTCTCGAAAAAATATAATTTCAGTGTCAGTCAGGATACTCATAGCATAATAACATACGACATTATGCTATGAAAATAACTAAACTAAACAATTCTAGCTGTTACAACACTGGTAAGATTTCTAATTTTTTTACAGCATAAGCCGCAGAGCTGTCTACTGGCTAGTTATAATTTTATAAAATTGAATGTTTCGTTGTTTGTGGTGTATTTGTTTCTATACTATTCATCCGCTTGCGATGATACTTCGGTGAGTTAGGTTATTATTACACGCCCGAGAAGTTTGGTGACAAATAATTCTTTTTGTTCGTTTTTTATGCATTTCTACAGCATTCATTAGTTATAGTAACAAATTTTAGCGAAAAATTCGCATAGAACTATCGAATGTTTTATTATTATCATTTATAATTTTGAATCGTTATTCCAGTCACCGGTTTTAAAATCTGGTTATGTATTTGCGGTGTTTGTTTTGCCTTCATTAAATTTTACTGCTATTTAAATTAGTTTAAAGGTAGTAGTTGGCTAGCAACATAAAAGTTGTAAAGTACTAAAACTTATATTATTTTTTATATAATGTTACAAGACTAGACAAGTTATTATTAAGTTGCCAGATTTTTAATTTATTTCTATAATGGTGGTGGTGGCTTAATCTTTGCAAGAAGAATAGTAAGAAAGTTAAGAAGTTAACCCTGTGTTTGAAATTACTAACGCATAGATGCTACGGGATTGAAAATACCTATGTAACACAACGTGGGTAAAAGCAAAGTTACAGCCTATATACGTCCCACTGCTATGCACAGGCCTCCTCCCACTTCTGACAGGGTTTTAGTGTAGGAAAGTGTCCACCGTGGTGCCCCAATTATTATTAGCGGACTTTAAATATTTATTTATTTCTGAGACACGCAGGTTTCCTCACGATGTGTTCTTTCACCGTCGAGCACGTGTTAAATTAGCACTTAAAATTGCAATTAACAATTTCTTTGGTGTACTGTGAAATTTACAGTGAGCGCTAACCCCTGAACTACCAAGACCCAACGTGAACATCTTTAAAAATATAGTGAATTTACTTTCGATAGCTCAATCCAGGGCGTTTTACATACATCTAAAAATAAATTATCACTCACTAACTAGTGGGATTTATATCGAACACTGGCTTATAATAAATAACATAAATACAGTTTATTAGTTTCTGTATTTAGTAATACTCTCTAAACACGTCAGGAGAATAATGTAAAAATAATAAAAACATGGTGATAAACATCCGCCATAATTACAGGAGTTTAATGGAAGTTAGAAATCTTACCAGCGCCGAATTTTGTGGGAGGATCGATGTTCATAAGTGGACTTTTATCGGACTATAATGATGATGTTGAGAATGGTGGCGAAATACCCAAAACCTTTGTGAACTTATAATGCAAAGAAAACTATTGAAAATATTTGAATTAATACTATTTTCATAATAAATGACTACTTTTTTGAGTATTTTTTTTAATAAAAGAAGGGGCAAACGAGCATGCGGCTCACGTGATGATAAGTGACTACCGCCGTCTATGAACAACCGCAACACCAGGGGAATTGCAGCAGCATTGCCGGCCCCTAACAATTAATTTGCCAGGACCTTGAAGGTCCCTAAGTCTTATCGGTCCGAAAAAATCGCCGGTGGTAAACAATTCCACAGAGAAGTTGTACGAGGAACAAGACTCCTAGTAAAATGCACAGTGGTCGAATGCCAAGCATCCAGATGGTGAGGATGGTATTGTGAATTTTGACGCCGTGTGCGATAGTGAAATTTGACAACTGGAATGAATACGTGAATATTTAAAATTCAACTTTTAATCTAAAGTCGTTGCGCTCGTTTGTGTGATATATTTTAAATATCGTTGTAGGATATCGTTGGAGGTAAAATCCAATAAAGATTCCACGGGCCGTTCGAGAATCGTAATAAAACTGTGCAGAGTTAAAAATATTTTTAATAAAAGCGAAGGAGTGAAGTTAAAAAGAAAAAAAAAAATAACTAAACGACGAGAAGTTGGAAAAATAAAAGTTACTTACACGCACACGGCGCATAGCTGCGACGATCTCTACGCGGCTGGACGGTCTGGGTACATCCATAGTTCCGATGTACTGTAACAAAACAACATATTATGAACACTAATTAAATTTGATAGTCGTAGTTACTATATATTTAAAAAATGTCGATATATCTAGTCCCTTGGAATACTAATAGAAATTTAATATTTTTCATTGATATTATTTTTAAAAGCATGCAAATAGACGTCAGTTGGAATTAATTAAAGCCTTTCTCAATTACGACGAATTCTCATCTCGTCTCAATTCTAATCTCTGACTGCTCTCGAAGGTTTGAATATTTTATGTGTGTTACATTTTAATCAGTCATTTCAATCTATCTTGAGATTATTTTGGTATCTCAATTAGTTAGTTATGGTGATAATTATTGACTATGGCAGCAAAATTGAAAACTAGTTTAATTTTGCCACGTTATATATAAAATATAAAAATAAATAAATATAAACAAATAAATATATTCCGTCTTGTAAATATATGACTCCAAATATTTAATGAACAAATATTTAATGCGTGGTATATTTGAGACAACGGCGCTGCTATCTACCATGAGATTATTTTGTTGTTATTATAATTCGATTATTATTTAGCATTCATAGTAGTTCTTTGACACAGGCAGCAAAAAGTTAGTAATTGACTGTGATTAATTGATAGCTTGAATCCAATCAAGATCAAGTAACAGAATGTAAATGCGTTATCCAATGGCATAATCATTATTCTGGTCTTGTTTCTTACATTTATAATATCAGTAATATCCTACTCAGGATCAAGAAATCAACGAAATTTATAAAGGTAACGTTGTTGCTTTCATACAGAGTGCATTTTAAGAAATGAAATATAATCTAACGGAATGTCTGCTAGTTAATTATTCTACATTATACATATTTACGTATTTACTTTCTAAAGAGAATTAAGTAAAAAGCAACATGATCCGACGGTGCCTGAAGCAGTTGCTGAGTACGCTAACTTTATACGAGTAAAGAGAATTTAGACCGAAGAAACGCGATTCAATTGCGCCTGAAGCAGTAGTACTAAAAAAATTAAATTGACCCTGCAGGCCATCCCTGGAACTTCTAATTCCACTCATCGAGTTCAAAAACGTCATAGTTTTGGAAAACCACGCTTTTTTATTTTTCAAAATTGAATATTTCACGAGCAAATTGCTGTTATTTACGACAATCGACACAATTTTTTAAAGCGTAAAAAAGCTAATTACAAAAAATTTGCTTCACGGAAAGTTTTCAATTTATTTGAAAAAAAAAGAAACTCTTTTCGAAATTTCTTTCGGCAACGATATTTCTCGAACGAATCCACCGACTTTGATTCGATGTCGTTTATTGAGTAGAAGAGCTGATTAGATTATAGAATTCATCAAAACAAGAACATCAAAGTAATTTCAAGAAAACTACTTTTTGAAAATGAAAAAAAGAACGAACTTTTGAGGTTTTCTCAAAATCTACACTATTTAAACATAAAACAATCTCATTCGCTTTATTAATATTACTATAATATATTACTTGTAAAATAAATTAAACATTACCAAATTACCCATTATAGACAAAACATATTCGTACAAGAACATGCTGTCGGACGACTTTCAGCCGATATGAAATGAATTACTTAATTGCTGCATCTCCTATTACGAGTAGTTGAATAGGTGTCTCCATTACTATCGGTTCATACGATAGCTCACCTTACTTCGTTATGCCAGCTGCATACAGATGACGTGACTCAAAAGGGTACTAAACTGCTTTCATAATCTGCGACACAAAAGCACTTTAATCAAAGCTTATACGACCTTGGCTCTTGGCTGTAATCGTTTACTGTCGCTTATTTATTTATTAATTATCTCTATACCTCTCTCTCTCTCTCTCTCTCTCTCCCTTTCTCTTCCAAAGAAAGAGAAAGGGAGAGAGAGATTTCTTAAGATGACGTTGATGTTATGAGTGAAATGTTGGCGTAGTAGTGGAGTTCAGTACAATTGTTTGACTATCGGCGCCTCTACACGTTGGCCAACACAGTGGCGAATGTAGTGGCCAATAGCATTGGCGAACGTGTAGACGGGGTGTTTGAGCTTCATTGGTATGTATTGGAACGATGGCCCGCAAGTTGGCGCGAGATCCGTGTGGTGTCGGTTTTTTACAAAAGATCAAAGGATTGTTGGCAGAGTTTGGTCGCCGCGTCCACACGTTGGCCGCGCGTTTAGTTTGCTACAAGCTCCCAGAGTGATTACACGCATCTGATTTAAATTTTATATTCAAGCTTTGTAGGGTGGATGCCCCAATTACCAGCCTTTTAGTGCCAATTTCAACTTTAAACATTCCTACTACTTTAATTAGCGCGATTTAATTATTATTGAACATTTGTTTTAATCAATAAGCTATTTATTTAAAAAAAAATAACGTTTTTTCACAATCAGATTATTACGAGAACAATTTTAAAATGAAAAAAAAGAAGCACGTCGTTTATACGTGGTAGAACCATGCTATTATATTAGAAGTATAGTTGCAGCACGAAGGTCGGCTCGACCGGGGAAGGACCACGCTCTCACAGAATATCAGCGTAAAATAGTAGCTTAATGATGCTGTGTTTCGTATAGTGAGTGTAGAGAACCAGAGACCCTTTTTAAAGAAAACGAGGCATTTCATCTTAGTCCCACGTGTGACAACGCATCTGCATTTTGATTTGTAATTGAAGATAGATGTAGATGTCTGTGGGTAGTAACCACTTACCATCAGGTGAACTGTGTGCTCGTTTGTCACCCTATCCTATAAAAAAACGTCGATTTCTTATAATTTAATCGTGCAAGATTTCGAATCATCATCATCATCATTACAGCTGTTCACAAGTCCACTACTGAACATCCTCCTCCACAGACTGCCGCAAAGCATGGTCCTGAGCCACTTTGCTCGTCATGAGTTTTTCATTTATGTTCTAAGTTATAATTAGTACCTATTATTAAGGCAGTGTTAATTATATTTATTGCTATTGTTTTTGTCTTTCTCAAAAAATAATTAGATTACCAAATAAATTATAAGTTGTTTTTTATATACATCAAATGTCTGATAGAAATGCAAGTACATATTTTGCTAAACTTTAAAATCAAAACCCAATTTTAAAACATAGACTAATCGATTATAACTCCTTTAACTTTAAAATAAGTTAAGTTCTTATTAATGGTATTTATTCCAGTTTATGATGCATGTAAAGAATAAATAAAGCTAATTGTATAATATCGTGTATCTATTTACAGCCCCACTAATAACCACTATTATTTTATAATTCTTTTATAAAAACGTTAACCCCACACTAGGATTTTCTCCCGTATCGCGCAGGCAGTTTACAAACATAAATTGCACAAGGACACACATTCAGACCCGAAACAATTATTTGTAGGACATACAAATACTTGTTCCGTGCGGGATCAAACCCGCGGCGCCCGGCGCAGCCACTCATTGCTGAGCCACTGCGCCACGGTGCTTATAAATTCGTCCGCAACTTGGCTCGAACCGAAGTAAACTGAACGACCTTCCAACGTGTGGACGCCGTCACCAACTCTCGGCCAATATATTCGCCACTCCATTCGCCACTGTGTTGGCCAACGTGTAGAGGCGACATATGGCATTGTGGAGTCGCGAGTTTAAATCAGGTATGACCTATAAAAATATTTTTTCAGTTTTAAAATAAAGTCTGTAGACAATTTATGTATGTGAACATCTCCACGATACATGGCAAAATCCAAATATGGGAGTAACGTTGTTGTTTTATATACAAAATCGAGAACATATTGAGTATCTATATATGAATATTGTTAAACCCATGTAGATAAAAAAAGATTAAATGTTTGTTATCTACATTGGTTGGTTTCGGAAATAGGCCTTACTCGCAGTATGGAGGATTTGCCGTCATCGCTTCAGTTGGCAGGGATTAAACGATCGATGTACAAGACGTCTCGCACTTTAAACGCAGCTCCTAACTATGCTTTAGAATTTAGATAATTGGTGTGTATGGCGTAAAAGTTAATAGTATAATCTAGCGGAGGTCAAGTTCACACCGGGTTCCACGATTTTCCTTAATCGTCTTTTACTACAAGTCAAGATGGCATAATGAATTCTTTTAGAAACCAGAATACGGCAAATAATTTTCTTAGCATTAAAAATTGGTCTTTGCATGTGCCATAAGTAATTTATTTTGACCTGTACTGTAAAACAGATCAACCACAGGTTCTCTTTTTGATTTCGACCAAACTTCAAGATCTCAAACTGTAAGTCCTCCTTTAGTTTTATCTGGGAACCAAAAGTATTTTTACGTAAAAAAATGGAGGAGCTGAGGAACCTGTAAACAGATCAAGTCGTACAGCAAGTCACAACATTGTCGATATACCTCGACCTCAGCCCAAAAACTTTCATTGATTCAGAAACTCTTTGGCTTGAGCTATTTGACACAAAAATGATTGATGCAGTTGTTACTTATACAAATCAAAAATTATCAGAGGTTTGTATGAAGTACAAAACCCTAATAAAATTGAACTGAGACCTACCGATCGCGAAAAAAAAGCTTTCTTGGGCTTATTATTTTATACATCAGTCTTCAAGTCCAATCACGAGAATACCAAATTCATATTTGCTACTACTGATGGCTCTGGGCGTGAAATTTTTCGCTGCGTGATGTCTCAATTCCGATTTCTCACTCTCCTAAATTATATTCGTTTTGATGACATTAAGAGTAGATCACAACGCCTTGAAACAGACTCATTGGCTGCAATTTCAGAAATTTTCGGACTGTTCATTGCTAATTGCAAGAAAGCATATACTCCTGGAGCCGGTCTATGTGTTGATGAAATGCTAGTTTCATTTAGAGGCAGATGCAAATTTATAATATATATGCCGAAGAAGCCCGCCAAATATGGCCTGAACCTTTTACGTATGTAATGCATACATTTACCATGGAAAAGATTCGGATGGACTGGGACTCTCAGAAACCGAGAGAAAGTTTGCTATACCAACTCAGTCTATATTATGATTGTG